TTAGGGCAAGCTGAGTATAAAATAGCAGGTGCCAAACGATCTGTGGGTAACATATGCCATAAAATCTGTACAATCCCTGCCAGACTCGAGCTTTTCGAAATATTTACACTTCCTGTTCTTGAATACTGCAGCATCGTCTGTGGGAACTTGCGAATGCGTGACAGGAAAGCTTTAGAAAACCTACAAAGATCATTCACTAAGCGCTTGTTCGGTAAATCAACCATTTTGAGTTATCAGGAGCGCTGCCAGCAGCTTAAGCTCGAGCCCCTTTGGTTGCGACGACTGAAACATGACCTGATGCTGATACATAATCTCATAAGCCAAAATACATACTCCAATATGTGTACAGTTATCATGCAACATAAGTTCACTCGGAATATACTCAACAAGACCAGTACATTATTTGTGTGCCGAGAACCAGGACAGCTATCCGATCAAACTTATTCCTCCTCAGATATGCTGTCGTGTGGAATAGTGCACTAGCCACAATCAGGTCTTGCACAAATGCAAGAGCATTCCACATTCAGCTTAGCAAATTCTTTGACCAGAACTCGATAATGATTATGTTTCCATCGGGTAAATCACCATACGAGTTCTTTCAGGATGGACCAAGGAATACAAAATCAATGATTAAAGATGGTACAACGAAATCGGCAACAACAAATGTTACGTGATTCTAAATTATTTTGATCTCGTACACCCCACATTACATATCTCACTAATGCATGAGCATGATAATTATTGTACCCATGATCTGTCTACAATCCAGGGACAACTTCTCGTACAATCAGGAAATATACGTATTATTACTGCTATTATTATTATTATAAACCCTATTCGTCTGTTTTGTCCCTTCTACCTTGTGACCATTCACTCACTCCTATACCTGATCGGCTGACATATGTTCCCACCTTAGTGTTCATACAATTTCGACCCAGCGAACGGCTCAAAAGAACAGTGATCGAGGAGCGAGACGATAGAGGCGCTATCTAGCTGCGCTGTTTTGCAAATTTGTAATCGTATTAAACTTTTAAAAATTTAATACCGGAAATTCTCTAATTAGAGGACTACTCCTTAATGATTAGTCATTGACGGCTTATCAATACTGATTAGGTGGTTCGTTACATGCTTTTATACATATAATTTTGCTAGTAGTTTTGCTTGGCAACTGATTGATGACCCAGTCCTAGTACTTATATTTACCCCCAGTAAAATCTCATTTTACCACCTTGGGGGTAATTACTCCCAAGTTGAGAAACGCTGTGCTAGCCGGATCACAATTGCGGACGTGTGCAACGGAGATAAAACAATTACTCCCTCAATATAGTGTACTGCGTGATTTTATTTCGATACTTTCCGACTGCTTCTGCTGATCAGCTTTATTCCGTGTAACACGTTGGATCAGAGGGGGGGGGGGCGGTCCTACTCTGGCGGCATGTGACAGGGTGCGTTATTTTTTGTACGGATGATTGCTAAATTCTAAGTGTAAATTCATCAAAATTGCCTCCTTGACTGAAGTGGTAAAAAATGAAGAGTGCTAATCATACTGAGACCGAAAATGAAATTGGTACCACAAACATTCATCTCCGGGAAACAGTAAATGATATTGAAAGCGTGGATGCAGTGGGAAATGTTTGTAATGTTGAAGCAGATGATGCACGCGAAGTTGAAGCTTTGGAAGTGCAACCACACTCTGGCATGATAGTACGCAGACTGATCGGTTTTACGGATGTCTATCAGTGACCTATTAAGATTGATCATGTAATTCTCACCATGCTTGTCCGGCTCTGATTTATTGTCATGAAGCACGTCGATCATGAATTCAATAAGCGGTGCTACCTGGAACGAATACAAAGCTGAGGCTAAGAAGTTAACAACAAACTCGTTTTTTCGAGAGTTGCGAGAAAACGCGCAAGGATTGCGAACACGGATGATGTATTCTCCTTTAAGATAGGCCGTTTTTGTTTCAGCTACAGGATGTTTTCAACTGCATAGTCTACTTTTGCGACTGATAAGGGTTTCAGAAGTTAGTGAAAACTAAATCCGCAAGCATATAAACACGAATCTGTTAAATCATGTGCTCAGTCATTCCCCAGAAGTAAAAAGCTGGCAATCCGGCTAGTTGAAGGACGGCAGTTGTAGAAAATACGTGGCGTGCGATTTTGGCTGGAATACTTGTTATCGTCAATTTTCCTGTGAAGCAAACAGGACACTGTGTTGTCTCCGAGACTCATCCAGGATGACGAAAACGAGGGAGAAGAGGAGATAGTTTTAGAATTTTTACGTTTGTTGCGCAAGTATGAGCATGTTCTTCGGGAACATGTGGCGACAATATAGCTGGGAAGGAAAAGCAGAACTTTGTTTTTGTCACCACACGTTCGTAATGAATCAGTGAGCATTTCGCTAAATCAGATAAGAAAGAACAGGTCAAGGAAAGCAACTAGGTTTGTTTAGTTTTTGGTGGCACTCCCGATCATAAAAATCAGCTGAGTGAGTGAAGGTATAGGAGTCGTTTCTCAGCGCCAATGAGACCACCAACAAAGAGGCAAAAGAAATTGCTGTCCTAGTTTTGACAGAAGCGAAGAAGCCCAAAATTTGGATTGCTGGCTGTCGTATTCAGGCATTTAACAGTGCTGCTCTTATGGGGATACCAATCAGGTCAGCAGAGACCTCTACGAAATCACTCGGACGCTACCTTTTCCATGCATAAACTATTCCCTGACTCAGGCTTGTGTATATAGAGCTTCTGCGACGGTTCATTTCGTTAAAATTTGGACAGGCTGGACCTGATATTCTCATCATTGTTGCTTCTTAGTATTGCTGGAATGTTTTGATTTAATTCACCTGTATAAACTGGCTGTAAAAACTAGATGGGGTAGTCAAGCAGAGGGCGCAAACAGTGGGGTGAAGAAGTAGTCAGAAGTCGAGAAACATCTCCGAAACATCTCACAGATAAAAGAGCCAACGCAGTCAGAAGATCAGCTGCATCTATAATTCCCACCTCGGTATTGGCGTTAACGCTTATTTTGTTTCTGAACCTTTAGAGATCTGTTCTCATAGGAACCAAAAAATGTCTACGAAATGTCTAAGAAATGTCTAAACAAAAGGGACTAGATCTGCGCAAAGTTCTGCCAAGTGTACAACGTAAACAGTTTTCCTTCTTCAGAATAGAGAAAAATGTTTGACATTGCGAAGGATGATTCAATAAACACTATGCTCATTTGGAGGTAAGCATAGAGTGTCAAATCCGCCGAAAGAAAAGAATGGATGGAGAAGAATTGTTTGATATATCGACGAGTTAAAACAAGGAATGTTGCCTGTCATGGACAGTTTGACTCAGAAAAAGCTATACATTTCCGCAGATTCATGACCTTGCAGACAATTATGCTTTTCTGACACCGTTAAATTTGACTGACAATCACTATGGTTTTTTGCTTAGCAAAGTTGAGGAAGATATAGAAAAAGGGAAATTCCTTGTCGAAAGGAGATGACTGCAATATTTTGTGGAAGATGCGGGGAACAACAAAATTAATGGATCTGAACTTTTGAACTTGATACAGAAATATCGCTTTTGGAACCGGCTGCGCACAGCAAGCTGTGGGAAGGCATTCTCAAAACCCAAGCTTATAAAGTACTACTTTCAATCATCATTGAAGCGGACAAGGCGCACGGATTTGCAATTCTCTCCATAGAGACGGAATTCGCTAATGGACTGGATTTTGTTGGTATTATCGGTACTATTGCCTCATGTAATGCACGAAAAAGGTATCTGTAAATTTTGCTCACGAGTATTGTAACAATACAAATATCTGCATTTACGGCAGTACTTTAAATTTGATGCATGTTGTTATAGGAATCCAAATATATAATGTTTGTTCGCATTTTGTGGGTTTACGGATTTACAACTGCCAGAGGGTAGCAAAAGTAGTTGCTACACCATTGCTTTTGGTCCAGTTGCCACATTCTTCTCCGTTACGAGCCACCGCTGTCAATTAGTATTCGGGCCACACACACACTGTACGCGACGGGAAGAAGCGGCACCTTCAAGACAACCGCTAGGTTGTAGTACGGAACGCCATGAGCATCGACCAAACCCTGTCTTGGCTGAACGCAGCCCACTGACGCAGCCTTGGTGTTAGAAATCGAATTCACGGAGATAGTCATGGGTCCAGATATTGGTTTGAGGTTACCTAACTGGACAGAGTGCGATACGCTGACGAAAAGCATGGTAAATGTTCGCGTGAATTTCAGGAAAGGTTGCAGAAAAATCATAGTAGTAAATAAAGAGCTGGTATGTTTAAGATTATAGATTTAGCGGGAAGCTCTGATAACTCGAGGTTTAATGATTGTAAGTGCATGGAGTATCGAAACTGAGAACCCATATCAGACATGGATACATTTAGTCACTCTGTCCTTAAACAGTGTCTACTCATGCTCACGGAAGTTTAAAACTGAGGCACATATACACATAGTTGCTGGGGCAAGCTGAAGAGGAATAATTCCGACGGCTCTGCTGAAGAAACTGACGACATAATGAGCACGTAGGACCATCGGCTGTGAATCGTCAGAGACATAGATCTTAACTTCATCGTTACCGGTAGCTAAACTACTCGGTCGGTTGGTTAAAGCATTTAACTTTTACGTGCGATTTGGAGATGCAGCGCCGGTTGGTTCTAAGAACTTGGTTACTCAAATGTGTAGCTTCTCAAGAAGCCACCCATCAGATCATTTTGGTGCGCAATTCATCAATAGAATGATAGCACCTCATTTTGACTTCTTCACATCTGCTCCAAACATGCTTCCTGATTACACACAGTAAGCAAACCGTGAGAGCACTTCTCTTCTGCTCCAGCCAACTACTGATCTACTCTGGTGGTAACTCATGACAGTAGTTGTTTGTGAGCCGTTGATTGGTTGGATGTATGCGGGCCGGTCGTGTGATCGCCTTACCACTCTCGACTGAGCAGCTATATTAAGACATGCACCCATGCATTCAATGCAAACTTAAGGATGGACATGCAATGTGAGCACATTTAACTATGGTCTGCTAATCAATACGAACCTGGCTAGACACGATGACCTGGGAGGATAAACAATTGCAATTCATATCATATTCAAGCTGACAGTTCACATCCGTGCGGTACTGTTCGCCAGCCTATTGCTATGAAAAGGTACAGCTGCATCGGCTGTAAAGAGTTTGGAAGAAGATTGATAAGAACAAGGTCTGCGGAAGGAGATACAAAGCTGCAGACTCCTTTGAAACGATGTTTGAACGCAGCGCAGCTAACACTGTATTGTATAGCACATATGATAGGTGCCGGTCTGTACGTTCTGACTGGCCAGCTCATCCGTGATGACACCGGTCCGGGGACCTCCATCGCTTACCTTTTGTCCGCTTTTACCGCCGCATTCACCGCAATGTGTTACGCAGAGTTCACCACGCTCTTTCCCAGGGCAGGGTCGGCGTATGTGTACACTTACTTAATGTTTGGTGAATTACCCGCATTTCTGATTGGATGGACAATGGTCTCCGACGTCATCGTCTCCACAGCCGCAATTTCTAAAGCACTGTCTGGAACAATAAACTTGTTGTCTAATAACACAATACGTCATTGGTCAGAGCAACATTTAGTTCGACTTCATGCCCCTGGAATTGCTGATTCCTCACCGGATATGATAGCAGCTCTTTTCCTATTGCTACTGATTGTGCTCACCCTCACTGGGGCAAACATCTCACTCAACATAAACGCTGTTTTGTCCTCCATTCAAATAATCTGCCTGATTGTTATGATAATTGCCTGTTTCGTCCTTGGAAGCCCCGAAAATTATATCAATGAAGGTGGTTTTTTTCCTTTCGGCATTTCTGGTATGCTGCGTGGTGCCGGACTCGCCGTTTTCGGCTTCTCAGGATTCGAAGCTATCGCCAACGCGAGTGAGGAAGCAAAGAATCCTCGTCGCGATCTTCCGATGGCTTTGTTCGCTGCCCTGGCAATATGTACTTTATTATATCTCGGCGCATCACTTGGATTATCGTACCTTGTACCACGCACCGAAATAGTATACGAATCTCCGTTTGTCGCAGCGTTCGCTTATGTGAAACAGACTGGGATGATGGGATTTGCAGCTTTTGCGACATTGTTGGCCACAGGCGCTACGAAGCTGGTGGCCATGTATGTCATCCCAAGGCTATTTTATGCCATCGCATCAGACGGCTTACTTTTCGGGTTCATGGCTTACGTGGAACCAAGAACAGGAGTTCCCATTTGGAGTTTGCTTCTTGGAGGTCTTATAACGGTTCTCCTAGCCACATTCGTCAAGATCCAAGTGTTAGCCGAGTTCACTTCTGTTGGAATTATTTTCTCCTATTTTATGATTGGACTCGACCTAATGGTCCTTCGTTACACTTTCGAGGATGTACACCATATATTACATCAAGAGGATGGATTAGAGAAATCAAAGAGTGATCTATTGAAACTTGATTCTACGAAAGACCAATCTGTGCTTCTTCCAGCACCGTATACCTTATGGATGAGGAAGTGTGTGCCTGGGTGTTTCAAGATATTTGAAACGAAAGCTCATTTCAAGCTTATTCTAGCAATGTACTCTGTCTCTATCCTGGCTATCGGTATTATCCTGAACATCAACACAAAGGCTCAGTACATTTGGTTATGGGCCACATGTGGCGTGTTTTGCGCTGTCACTGTTATATCGTTTATTCTGTTATCTTTCTACCAACCGACCAACCACCATGATGGGTTTGAGGTGAGTCCACGGCTTTACATGGTTACTAGTCGCCTTTCTAATCGGACACATACGGTAAAAATGCAGGAAGAAAAAATGTGTCGCAAGAGTTTGATTTTCGAGTTGTCATATGCTCTGTTAATCCACGGCCTATGGATTATGCATCCACAAAGCCCATGGACTCAACATATGCGGAATACTTGGTGCACAGGTCGTTCACAATGTTTATGTATTACTTCATATGCGCACAGGACCACAGTAATCTTGCTACAGGGTAGGCAGGGATGGTTGGATAGAACGTCCGTACTTCGGAATGGGGTATGCGCGGTAACTAGCCGTTTCGGAAAACAAAGCACTCTGGTGAGACTGGTTGATGGTGTTCGTCCATGACACATTAGATAGAACCTCTGATGTCAGTTCATGTCTATAGAACAGCGGCAGGAACAGCACGGATGTTTTGAGGTAAATATTAAATTTTATCAGGCCAAATTTGCTCGACATCTATCAGTGGTGCAATCGATCGGCTCGCAATCGGTAGAGATATGCATAAAGCAAGTAATGTTGTCATCACATTTCCCGATGTCTCTGGTTTGGGCCCTGTGTTTATCCAGAAGCCAACTATAGAGCTGAGTGAATCAAATGAGTGACAACTGACCTTCAATGAATTTTAGATAACTATCGATAGGTACACGTAATACGACAGCAATATAACTCTTGACAGGATGGAGCATTTTGATCAGTTCCGATTGGTTCAGCCATACTGAAAGGAATGCGAAATTCCACTAAGGTAGACCTCTTATTCTGTAAAACATTGAAACTAAAGATCTGGAATGACGAATTGTCACAGCTACACTCAGGCAGAATTTGCACATATCCGAAATAGTATGTGGGCACGCACATGGCAGTTGAGGGTAATCGTCGCTCCATATCATGCCTACGTACTTGGTGGCTCAGTGGTTTTAACCAGTTACGAACGTGATGGGTCGTAGGTTATGACCGCCTGATAAGCGGTCAGATGCAGTCAAGTCCTGAAAGGCCGGAACGGCAGTGAAGTGGTTTTTCCTATGTGCGGCTGCTAAGACGAACGTCCTTCGAAGTAAAGTCCTAAGTCAGTGTTACATCCCTTTTAGTCTAGACAACCATGTGGCTCCTCACCGTTGTTAAGTCAAAGGGGAGAAGAAAATCTTTGACTAACGGCAGAAAGTCTAGTGAATCATACAGGTGTGTCTATGGAGCGAAAGCCGCAAATCGCAGCATTATTCACACTCCAACGTGGTGGCCTTAGTGTGGTGGTGTAATTTACAGCAATCCTATACAAAGTCTAAGCAGTTTTTTTGAAATAAAAATCGACGTAAACAATCGGAAGGTAATCAATAATGCTGGTTCCCCAATCTAGGTCCCCTGAAACGAAAAAGCATTGCTTCCCCGTAGTATGCACCTAGTCAATCACTATCAAATGTACAGTTCGTTGGCAATAGACAGGTTCTTCACATACCTGGAGTCTTCGGGTTGATGGTCGTAGGTGCATATGGCATCCATTCTGTTTTAAGCGCAGCCTCTGAAAAGATTCTGCTCGAATGCTTTTGAGAGAATGTACCTATGTGAGGGTTTTACTTCGAACACCTATTGATATTAATGGATGCCCTCTATGGACAAAGTGTGGCCTTACTGCCTGACAGGAATGCTTATCGCCCCCCCCCTATTATAGCCAGGAATAAGGACATCATGCGTGTTGTTAGTGGCATAAGTGCGCAAGTAAGCCGTTTGTCAGACTGTGGACAACACGGAGGTTGTTTCTGGAGCGACACCCGCCACAGTGCGCTTTCGATCGGTCAGCCGTGTATTGACCCAGTCTTCTCATCTGCAGCATCGCCGTCCAACACCAGACACACATCAACCAAATGGCCATCCTAATCTCAACTTTACTAGCTAAGCAGCAACTGCGGATGATGCACGTCAGTGCACGTCGGTCGATCTGAAAC